CTCCTACCAAAAAGAAAAAGTGGCCGGGCACAGTAGCTCACGCCTGTAATCCCAGCACTTTGGGAGGTTGAGGCGGGCAGATCAGTTAAGGTCAGGAGTTCAGGACCAGCCTGGCCAACATGGTGAAACCCTGTCTCTACTAAAATGCAAAAAATTAGTCGGGTATGGTAGTGTGTGCCTGTAATCCCAGCTACTCGGGAGGCTGATACAGGAGAATCCCTTGAACCCAGGAGGCACAGGTTGCAGTGAGCTGAGATCGTGCCACTGCACTCTAGCCTGGGCGATAGACCGAGACTCCATCTGAAACAACAACAAAGAAAAAGTGAGGACTTCTTGTTGTTCCCTGGCTAAGTAAAATTTAAAATCCTGGGCATAGGACAACAAATAATCCTAAGAGAACTACAGAATGTTGAAGGAAGAAAGCAGACTAACAAAGGACTTCAGGATTTAAGGAATCCGTGTGAACAAGGCTGAGTTCTCTGGGTTTTCTTTTTATCTCCTATATACTTTGGATTTGGAACTGGAATATCCTGTAAATGGCAACAACCAACAATCAAACAAAATTTAAAAAGAAAAAAGCCCCAGAAAAAGTCTGTTATGTCTAGTCAACGAACAGGGAAAGGATCCATCCCACAAAACAAAAGCGTTGACAATGCTCCTCCTACCCCTGTCAAACACCGTGCATGTCCCCTGCTTCCACAGTGTCAGTGAAGACCACACGGGAAGTCTGGGATTCCCCTCCACACTTGGTGGCGGCAAGTGACCCAGGACAAGGTTTCCCTCCCCGCCCCCCAGCACTGTGTTGGGGGTTCTGCACTCTATTCTCCCAGTTACATACCCTTACTAGGAGTTGGTAACATTTTCTTTTTGCTTTGTCCACTGCTTCTTTTTGAAACATATTCTTCCCTTGCTGTCCAGGAAACCACAGCAGCCTGGGTTCCCCATCTCACTGAGCTTTTCAGCCCGCACGCACTGGATCCTCTTTTTCTACTCAACTATGTTTAGCTGTTCTCTAGGGTTCTGATCTCTGCTCATTTCTTTTCTCATGTGACATGTCTTCTCTCTAATTAGCCTGCCCTCCATTCCCCTAGATTTTTACTTACTTAAAAAAAAAAAAAAAGTTGAAACAAGAAGGAATAAGACTGGAAAATAAGGATTAAAAATGAAAAAAAAAGTCACATTCATTGAAGTGTAATTTATACACAGTTCATCCATTTTAGTGTTAAGTTCTATGAATTTTGACAGACATATGCAGTCTTGTTACTGCCATCATAATCAAGATAAAGAATATCTCCATCACCCCCAAAATGTTCCCTTACATCCTTTGGTGTTATCCTTTCCCCCACCTCCAGTCCTTGGCAACCACTGGATCTGTTTTCTGTCCCTATAGTTTTGCCTTTGCCAGGAGGTAATTTTCCTGTACATATTTACATCTACCAATAAAGATAGTGCCTTTCACATTCAGATCTCTAATGTTAACCTTTCTTTTGAGCTTCAGACTCACCTCTCCAATGTCTCATTTGGGTCAGACTGAGGATCTTTTCTTCTTCATGCCTTGAGAAGGTGGAGTGATTCAAGTTACTCAACCTCTGTGAGTTTTAGTTTTATTCCATAAAAGAGGGTGATGGTACTTATTTTACTGATTTATTGGGGGGGCTTAAATAAGATAAACGCCGCCTAGGAGACGACAGGCTGTGTGTACAACAGATGCTCAATGCATAATTAATCAGCTGCTTTTGATGAAGTTTCATTTTCTCAAAGGGACCTCAAAGTTGTCTGGCCACCTTCAGATAATGAAGCATGGGGTTTCTGAGTCATAGGCCAATTTGCTGGAGCGTTCAGGCCTCATCAGAGACTAGAAATCATTCTTCCCACTGGCCAGTGCTATCTATGTGTTCCTATAACATGTCGGTGAGAGGATGTGTAACTCTTCAGATAACTGCTCATCTGAATTCTCGGAAAGACTTTGCAATACAATTGAGTCTTGCAACCAACCAATTACTTCATGTAATGAGAATGCCTTAGGATCTCTGGTTAGCTTCAAGTTTATGGGGCTGATTTATATCTTAAATGAAGATTGTTTCATTTCAGATTCCTTTTACTTAAAGGCAAAAATAAAGCACAGTGTTATACTGCAGAAGATACTACTCTAATGATTATTCATAGGGCCTCCAGGGCCTTTAGAGTAACATGTGCACGAAAGGCCTTGTTTCACATTGGATGGGTACAGGGAGAGGTGGCAGGCCCATCCACTGCTGCACACTTTTGTATTCTAAGTCACCATGTTTTCACATACTGTGACCCAGCAGCAATGTGTAATAAATTCTGAGAAGCCATGTGATACTTCAGTGGATGCCACTTCTCAATTTCTCTCTAGTTGAACTAAAATGAAAAAAAAAAAAAAANAAAAAAAAAAAAAAAGAGAAGAAAGAAAAAGAAAAGTCCTTTAATAAAAGTAAACTGACAAGGATCATATTGTTCTCACTTAGAACAGACAAAAAGGAATTAAAATGTTATGACATACGCCAGGCCGTTTTCACTAATCCCTTAACCTCCAGAGAAAGGGCTTGCAATTAGTATTACATTAGAATTGTCACAGCTAAGCAATTCTTTTTAATACTAGAAGGACTTTAGCTGATTTTATACTACACATATACATTAAAAATGCAGTTAGAATAACGCAAAAGAATTAAAATTACAATTGAGGTGCCACACAGTAAGTGAAAAAGGTTTAACGGTCTGTCTGGTCATAGAGCTAATAACCACTTTATGCAGAACACAGTGAAACAAAGGTGCCTTTCTCAATAACCAGAGTGCATCTGTGGCCAGCACTATTTTGCTAAGGCCATATACGGCTGTACTTGGTTACAGGCACATTTGTCAAGTGAGACTATAAAAAACAGCTGTATTTGAGATGGCACAGACCTCTGCACATTTTCTCCCTGTGGCAGCCAATCAGAAATCTTGCTGACAGGCAAACTTGTACAGAACAAATGATCCCATTTAGATTAATTCCCCTTAATGCCTTACCCAGGCCTACTTTGCTGGCATATCATGGAGGCAGGTCAGTTCCATTCAAAACCTGGAGACAGAAAATTCAAGCTTGATTAGTTGATAAAATATACGACTATACTGGTAGAGAATGTGGAGTGCTCAGTCTCTGTAAAAATAAGGCTGGTGGGCTCTACCCCAGCTCAGAGTTCAGACACAAGGTACTCTGCAAAACGAGCACCCAGCCAGAGAGCAGTCTAGGGAACTGGGTTTTAGCTGCGGCTCTGTCCTTACTGTTTTGGTCTTCACTCTCTATCCAGGACCAGGATACACCCATACCTTTTGCCATAAAACTGTGAAATGCCATCCCAATCCCTGGCTCTGGGCTTTTGCCCATAGGATGTTAAGCAACACCACAGAGGGCTGAAATGTGCTTCCACCTGGCTGTGATCGCTCGCTCTCCTGCCTCTGCCATTGACATGAGAAGAACATACCTGGGCTGCCCACTGGGCCCACTAGAATGATAGAGACCAATGGAGCAGGTGTGTGAGCTAGTCCATGCCAAGCTCAGCTGTCCAGCCAAGCCCTGCCCAGATAAGTAGACCCATGAGAGAGATAAATGCTTTCTGCTGCAGGCCACTAAGATTTTGCAATTGTTTGTAATGCAGCAAAATGGTGGCCATAGTTAACTGAAGCAGTTGCCAGAACTGCCTGCTCTTGGGCATCCCTTTTCCTATCCGTCCTCCAGGTCTCATTGACACAATGAAGGGGGGACTGGAGGAACTCTAATTCCTACTAATGACAGCTTCGGACCAGGAATCCTGGGACAAAAGGTGACCAGACTCAAGGGTCTGAGATCCACTCAGGGCCTAGAAGGAGTTGAGGAAAACGATCCCACTGGTAGTGACGTGGGCAGGCAAGGGACTTTATCTCAAAAAATATCGCCATGAATGCACCAGAACCATGGAAACAGTCAGCGACAGAAGGAGGGTCTGAAAAACCTGGGCCGCAGCATGTCCTGATAGCCAGCTCTCCAACAAACTTGGTTTTCTATTGGTTTAAACCCAGACAAATAAGCAAGTCAGAGACAGGACTGGAGAAAATGGAAATCTTTATTTTTAAACACTAGTACATTTTCAGGCTGCTTTAAAAAAGAAAAAATCATGTTACATTAGTTCAAAACTATGCATCAAAGCATATTTATTTAAACTCTAATTTTACAAACACATAATGAAAGAAACATATATTTTATAAATATCTACTCAGAATATGTATTATGAAAAAAAGTGTTTAAAAATAACAGCCCCAGATCTCCCTCTTTAAATATATAAAATTCGCATACAATTCATAAGAATTCTTTCTCAAGAGCCAAAAGTTTCATTTCACAAAGGCCAACAACTCAGTTCCCATCAGACACAATCAAAAGTAATAGGAATATTTAAAAATGTAAAAGTTCTGTACAAGGGAAATACAGATAGCACATGGGTAAATCTCATTAGCATACATGCCATTTGTGTTTTAAAAATGTTTTATAAAAACTGCTGTTTAAAACAAATAAGTGAGAGTCCTTCCCTGACTGTGGAAAATATATAAATTATCGCCCTCCCCGCCAGGTACCGAGGCGCCACCTGCTGGAGTTGGAGAGAGAGGTCCCCGTGTGTTTCCTGACAAGGGGCAAGGCCGCACATGGGGACCTGCCTCTGTGGCAGTGGCTTTTCCTAGTGGGTGATTCACTAGTATTTCCTTTCACTTAGAAAAATTCTTTGGGATCATAGAAGACAATTGCTCACAAGTGAAAGTAAGACAAGAGATGATTTCAGATTGCGGCATCCAATTAATAATGTATATTTTGTATTTTTGGTGACCAAACTCTGGAAACCTGATTTACCACTGTCAGAAACACGCCCCATCACCTGTGCCAGCAAAACTCATGGCACAGCCCCAAGGTTGTCCCTTCATCTTCTCTCTTCCAACCCAAGCCGCTCTGCTGCCTGCGCGATGTACAGAGACTACTGTCTCTTCTGACACTTCTTCTGGAAGGAGCTCTTCAAAAAAGTGCGGTACACAGGGTCGGCCACATATTCGTTCTTAAACCTGGAGCTCAGCACTCTTTGTCTCTTTCTCTCCCCTTGGATAATGTCTGCTCCATAAAATGTGTCTTCAAATCGCATGTCAGAGGCTGTGGACTAAAAGCAGCTGGCGTTACATTGCAAAACGGTACAGCATTTGATCTTCAGAAGACTCAACAAAGGTCTGACTCCATTAGCTGGGGTTAGGGTGCAGATGCCCCAGTTACTAGCTCAGGCTAGAAGGGCCCCAGGCATGGCTTTGGGCTTTCCCTCGCCTCTCCCACCCAAAGTGGGGGGCTCCATTTAGCCCCACTTTCTCCAGGGCCTCCCTACCCACCACTCCTAGGGACCTTCCCCAAACAAAAGCAGGATAAAAGGCTTCTCATTTTTAACTCCCCTCATTTCTCATCTCCCCTCTGGTTCTTGCCCAACAAGGTTTTTGACAAATGTCAACCGTCATCTCTAAGTTATCTTTACTCCTACTTAGCTTTGGGCCCCTGCCCCACTCCTTCCCTGAAACTGTTCTTGCTGAAGTCCTGGTTGCGAATTCTTGTGACACCTATCGCTAAACTGACTTGACGATTCTGCCAACTAACTACTGCTTAAAGCTCTTCTCCGTCACTTTGTAAACCCGTTCTCCTGCTTCTCCTTCTCTGACTGCTCATTTTTGACGTCTCAGGGGTTCCCCTTTTTAACTATCTGCTCAACTACGAAGCCCTAAGGCTTGGCATTGGGGCTTCTCCTCTCCACTCCTGTTTCCCGGGCCTTTGTGCCCACACCCCTGGCTTCGGTATCTGTGCAGAGGCACACATCTCCTGTGCCAGCTCAGGCCTGTAAGTGCATCTGCCCAGCAGGCATTGCAAAGTCTCTGTCTCAGAGGCCCTTCAAATCAACCTGTCCTAAATTGAACTGAGAGCCTTCCTTCTCCATCGCCGTCCTTCCTACCTTCCATAAAAAGCACCATCCACCCCCATGCACCCAGTTACACTGGCCAGAAACCTAAAGTCATTGTAGACATTTCCCCACTGTGTCCAGGATTCCTCCTGCGTGTACCCTGAAGTGCTTCAGCCTTTCTTCTTGATCCTTACTGACCCTATGGGGCAGGCCCTCACACTTCCTCTCCAAACCACTGTAATATATGCTGCACCTCCAACCTATTTCCCACAGTACCACAGGAAGAAAACTCTCTAAAAGCCCTCTTATGATAAGGCTCTACATGATCATATGCCCTTGCTTATAATTTTCCAACAGGCTACTGCCTTCAAGATGACATCCCCACTTCCTGGGCTAGACCTATATAAGCTGGCCAGAGCCTGCCCCATGCTCTGCTCAGACAGCATCAGTTGCAGGTCCTGGCCATACTTGCCTGGTTCAGGGCCCCAAGCTTCTCCGTCTTTGGACACACTGTTTCATTTCTGTGAAAGTCATTCTATTCTACGGTTTCTGCCCTTGGCAAGCTTAAGGGTCCTTTTCTGGGACTTTTGTGGCCCTGACACATCCACTCAGTAGGGTGAGGGCAGTGGTAGAGATAAGGAGCACGTAAGTTTCTCCCCATCAGAGGAACCTCATAAAGGTGAGGACATTAAGGGCTGTGTACCCAAATTTATATGTATTCCCCACAGCAAACAATGTGCCTAGTACTCAGCTTTGCTGTTCAGTGTTTGCTGCGTAAGGGCATGTGGGTTTTTCTGTGATACTCAGGTAAAGCCTAACGTCTATAGTAAGCACATTTTTGCTTCCCAATTCTCTACTATCTTGCCTCCTAAAATGCAGCTGTTTCCACTGAGGTGGGTGGCTTCTGATGACATCAACACACGGCACATTTCACTGTGCTGAGACCGCTTCCCCTGGCTGCTGGCAGAGGCAGAGGTGAAAGACGCTTGAGGACTTGAAAACACACGGTCCATGAAAAGAGAAAAAGAAGAAGACAGCTGCAAGGAAGCCTAAAGACAAAAAATGGACCCAAGTGCAAAGCTGTGCATGTTTCCAGCCCGTTCATGGGATGGTTACCCAGAGTAACAGGCCACCTCCACAGCTTCCCCCAGAAACTACCTAGTTTCACTCGGGAAGAAAACGAAATCATTATGGGCTGGTTGGGTTCCCTGTGCCATTAGGAGAAAACACTTTTGTTTCATTCATTCTTGGCAAAATACTTCCTCTGAGTAATCTTTCACTTTTATAAGTGCTAAAGTTATCAAAGAAGAAAATAAAACATCTATGAAAGTGTTGGCACTGTGCGGAAACAGCAAAAGTCAGCCTCTCAAACACGATAATAAAACCGATTTACCAGGAGCGCTGGCTAATTATGCACCGTTGCTATGGTTATTCTCTGAGACAATAAAAGGTAATGGGGCTGTTTCTGAAGTGAGTGGAATAGAACCCCGCACAATCACTGAGGTGGACTGCTGGCTCTTTTGAACAATTTCTCCCGCAGTCAGCGTGTGTCTGGGTGAGCCAAAGTCATTAAAACACAAGGCCTCCTGACAAGGGCTGCTAACCTCCCTCCTTAAAAAACGAAAAGACATTTCTAACCATAAAATATCTTCCATCAACGAGTTTTCCAATTAGATTTGTTTTGTCAACTGAAAAAAAAATAGCAATCACGGACAGATTAACCAAGGGCCTGAGGGCTATGCACCAACCCGAAGGAGAGGTAGGCTGGCTGCAACAAGACCCCGCATGTCTTTTATTCAATAACAACAGAGATGGTCAATAGGACTTAGTGACTGTGAGCCTTTGTTCCCGAAGATATTTTCTACTCGGCTCAGCTGCTCAGCATAGCGGGCTGCATCAGAGAGTGTGGATGTGATTTATATATTTTCACTGTTTTTTTTTTTTTTTTTTTTTTTAATTAAAAATTTTCTGAGAATAAAAAAAAAATGGAATGTTGGTGAGCTTGTTCAGTGAAAAAGACTGTAGAAAACCCAGGAGCTGTGTTCAGAGACAGCCACAGGGCAAGGCATCCTGATATCTTAGCGAAATCTACTGTGAAACAGAGATTGTGATCAGAGTATTAAAGCAATGAGTTTTCTTCTGATGTGATTAAGAAATAGTATTTGAAATCTACAAGACTCAGCTGGTAGGAATCTAAGTCATACATGGATTAGAAAATGAAAGACCTAAGAGACTTCCAGAGGCTACCTGCTCTACTCCGCACCCTCTAAATCTCTATGTGCTGAAAAAGGAAAAGAAAAGAGCAGGAGAGGAGAGTAAGGAAGGGAAGAGGGGAGTCTGAGGAAGATAGGAATACAGAACAAGAGGAAGCTATCTCTAATATTTCAAAAGGAAAGCTTTTCTCTAGAGATTTCAAGGTCTCAGAACAGTGACAAGTCATCTCAGGTTTTTAGGTCTTCCCTAAGATTTGGCTGCTATCTTTACAACAGGAATATTTAATTTTTTCTTTGCTTGTCATTATTATCTAGTGGTTACTCTATTTACAGGTGGGTGGGTCCCCTCTGAGCCACCTTTCTCACTGAGTGGGTAGCGATACCACCACTCTTCTTGACGATTTCACGTTGAAGGACCTTCCTCTGAAGGATGCAGCTGAGAGGAAAGTCAGTTCCCACCTGATGCAGTTACTCTGCTGCCAGGATCCCATCTGATGGGAAAGCTGCATATACAACTCAACATTTAAGGCAAGCTTGTCCAGTCCTGGCCTGCCGCCCAGGATGGCTTTGAATACAGCCCAACACAAATCTGTAAACTTGCTTAAAACGTTATGAGATTTTTTTGCAATTTTTAAAAAAATAGCTCATCAGCTATTGTTAGTGTATTTCATGTGAAGCCCAAGACAATTCTTCTTCCAGTGCGACCCAGGGATGCCAAAAGATTGGACATCCCTAATTTAAGAAAACCCTTGGTTCTTCCAAAATAACCAAATAATCTAGTTACTCTATCGCTGCAGACAAGTATATCACAAGCACGTACTAAACTGAAAGTGTCAAGTATTCAGAAAAAAAATTCACCTTAGAAAAACCTCGTCCATTCAAATTTCTCTATTTAGGATTTATCATTTCACAGATGCAAGAGATATAATTCTAAATGAATAGATCTGACTTCATTTTAGGGCCCACTAAATATTTTATGATACAATAATATAAAGCCAAAATTATTGTGAATTATGTTTTTCAACAACTTCAGTTTTGATTATCTGTCTGTGTTTATCTTTTAATGGTATGCGAGGGCATGAAAATAGTATTTCCCTTTTTAAAAACTGCTTTAGTATTCCCACAACTAGCATTTAGGCTTTGTTTATCCCCTTTATTATGAAAGTCAGAGTTTAGCTGAATTATGAGTTGACACAAACATCAGTGACTTTCTGAGACAGAAGTTAGTCAATCCGTGATAAACCTATAGAAGAACAGATAGACATTCACTTACGCTGAGTCCTCTTTGATCTACTCCTGAATACTTTCTTTTAATGTTGCTTCTACTAACAAGAGTGCAAATGCTTTGATGGTATCTTTCTTCACTACTGGTGCTCTGCACAGAGCACATATTCAGTAGCTATTTTTGTGCACCAATAAATGTTAACACAAAGAAACATCATTCGACTTCATTAGAAGAAAACTAAGGCACATGCATTCATTCCCTGATTTTGGCTGAATCTGAAGTTTGCATTCAATTAAATTTCACTAAGGAAAAAGTTGTATTGGTTTGCTTCATAATTAATCCAAAACCCAAGTATGTTTCTGCCAAGCTTGGGAAACATGAGGTGAGGACAAGGAATTCACTTGGCGGGTCTCCAAGTGGCATCTGCCAGCACTTACAAAACGAGCTTTCACTCTCTTGGGTAACTCTTCATCTAACGTGTAGATGTCCTCTCTCTTCATTGCTATCTGGGATCCGTCTTCAAACTCAACCTAATGAAAAGTAAGGTAACATGATACACATTAAAAAACAGTATTGACTATTTTTAAAGGTTCCAATTAACTACATAAAAAGATGAAAAAGACTCAAGCAGAATAAACAAGGGAACCAGCCAACAACCAAGGAAGTAAGAAGACTTCTTTCCCTTGTTAAACTAAGTAGAGGCCCGATGTAGTGGCTCACACCTGTAATCCCAGCACTTTGGGAGGCCAAGGCGGGGAGATCATGAGGTCATCTCCAACTGGCCAGTATGGTGACCATCTGGCCAATATGGTGAAACCCCATCTCTTTTAAAAATTAGCCAGGTGTGGTGGTGTGCGCCTGTAGTCCCAGCTACTCGGGAGGCATGGCAGGAGAATCACTTGAACCAGGAGGGGGAGGTTGCAGTGAGTCTCCATCTCAAAAATAAATAAACAAAATAAGTACACAATGCATTTAAAACAGGCCAAAATTTTTGTAAATGAGTGTCTTGGAATATGCAAAATGAAAACTTTACCTGGCAAAACAAAAACAAAGAAAAGTAGCTGCCAATCAAATGGAAATCACAAAACACGAGACTGTGGGAAATTTAGCATTAAGATGGTTTGGGTCTGTTAACACCATTGATTTACTTAAGAGGTTCTGACAATGTAACCAGAAGAAATGTTTCTCTCTGTGAAAGAAAATATAACATATTTCCTTTTTTTTTTTGGAAACAGAGCCTTACCCTGTTGCTTAGGCTGGAGCGCAGTGGTCTGATCTTAGCCCACTGCAACTTCAACCTCCCAGGCTCAAGCAATCCTCTCCTCTCAGCCTCCTGAGAAGCTAGAACCGCAGCCATATGCCACCACCACCCAGCTATTATTATTTCTTTAAGTAGAAACAAGGTCTTACTAGACTCAAGCAATTCACTTTGGCCTCCCAAAGTGTTAGGATTGCAGGTAAACAGCCTGGGCTGTTTACTCTTATATAATAATCCTCCCAGATAAAATAATTTCTCCAATTATCACAGAGCTTGAACTTTCAAAACTCACTTTTGTCAAATTCAATCAAATGCCATCAAAGGAGCTGGGAAAATCTGTTTCTCAACTTCCTAACATGTAAACCTAATCGATGTGTGAAAATACATCATCATCTAAAACAAAATGTTTAAAACTTTTTTCACACTAACCAAATGGAAGCAAATAATTTCATAATCAGTTTTTTCAACATTTTAAAAGATTTTATCAAAGAAAAGGTAAATGACACCAGTTAACAGAAACCTAGAGTACCTTGGTTAAGGTTGGGTTAGGTTTAATCCAACATGAACTCACCTAGCAGAAAACAAAAGGGATGTCATCAGGTAGAATACCTAATATGCTCTAATTCTGAGCCACATAATATTTTTATCCCTAAATTTTGTCTGAATTTTTCACTTTTAAGAAATGAAAACGGCCGGGCGCCATGGCTCACCCCTGTAATCCCAGCACTTTGGGAGGTCAAGACATCAAAACCATCCTGGCCAACATGGTGAAACCCCCTCTCTACTAAAAAATACAAAAATTAGCTGGGCGTGGTGGGGCTTGCCTGTATTCCCAGCTACTAGGGAGGCTGGGGCAGTAGAATTACTTGAACCCGGGAGGCGGAGGTTGCAGTGAGCCGAGATCTAGCCACTGCACTCTAGCCTGGCACCTGGTAACAGAGCAAGACTGTCAAAAACAACAACAAAAAAGAAATTAAAATATGCTTGTACTTCCAGTCAAAAGGCAAGTTAAATCACACTGCTGTGTTATGTTAAAAAGAATCTAGAGCTTAAAAAAAGTATACTTTTTTTGTTTTGTTTTTTTTGGAGGTTTTTTTTTTTTTTTTTTTTTTTTTTTTTTTGAGACAGAGTTTTGGTCTTGTTGCCCAGGCTGGAGTGCAATAGCACGATCTTGGCTCACCCCAACCTCCGCCTCCGAGGTTCAAGCAATTCTCCTGCCTCAGCCTCCCGAGTAGCTGGGATTATAAGCGTGTGCTACCACACCTGGCTAATTTTAATTTTTTTAGTAGAGACAGAGTTTCACCACATTGGTCAAGTTGGTCTTGAACTCCTGACCTCAGGTGATCCACCCACCTAGGCCTCCCAAAGTGCTGGGATTACATGTGTGAGGCACTGCACTGGCCACATTTATTGTTTAATTAACAGAATGTCCAACTGATAGCTGCACTTTTAATTAAACAAATACCCTCTTAAGCTTGGGTGGATGATAACATTAACTGGCCACATCTGTGCCAATGCATTGGTCTACCTTTGCTGAGATGGCCAGGTGGGTATGTCTCAAAGGCAAAAGTTACCAGGTTGGGGGTTCCTGGTTGATGAACATCCGTCACTGTCTCAATAAAAATCAGACATACAATTGAATGTGATTATGTACATACTGTTAGTATTTGAAGAAGCTAAACAATATAGTGGAATTAGGTGCCAGTCACATGAGAACTCTTGCTGTCACTTCCAGGAGGGCTGATGCTAAGAAGGGTTTTCTTCCTGGCCTTGTTTGAGTAGAATCGTTTCTTTAACGTTAAACTAGGCCAAGGTGGCATCTCTTTTACACAATTTGATGGCATAGCTAGAACCACCTGTGCCTACTTTCCTTTGCTTGAGATCATTTGAAACAAAAAGGCAATTACAAACCTAGAAGGGAGTATGCTATACCAGGACTAGGGTAACCAACCTATTTCGCCTGGAACTCAGGGCTCCCCTGGAATATAGTTATTTTCAGTACTAAAATCAGGGATGGTCCCAGGCAAGCAGGGATGATTGTCCACCCTAGTTAGGACAGAGCTGAGAGAGAATTCTGACCCTCTCTTTACCAGCTATGTACTCTTGGACAAATTATTAAAAATTTATTCTTAAATCATTAAAATTTTGTTCACAGCCTCTTACCTCACTTTTAAGATAGGAGTCAAGTAACAGCTAACATTTTGCAGGACTACTGTGAGGGTGAAAAAATGCATATGCCTAGGATATTAAGCACTGTGCAGCAGGTATTTATTTATCTGTCATATCTATTTTTAAAACTGTCTTTATTTGATGGTAAAGTTTAATAATTAGATACAAAACACAAAAATCTCAAAAGGCCACTTGGCTCAATGAGGAATTTTAAACTACTTGTGCTTGAGAGACAATTTTAATATTAGTCTTAACTTTTTCATGGAGTCTATAAATATGCTTATATTTTTATGTTGACAGGCCATCATAAATACAACTGAAGTTAACACACTGATTACTAATTAGCCCAAATTTCAACATGTTCTCATCATGTGATACTTTTCATGTAGAAAATAGCTTTGCTACATGTAAGAAGCTTTACTTCTGCACTTACTATTTAATTAAATGTAATTATTTTCTTTTGCATTATGTAGTAATGCTTCTTTTTCAGAAGCCTCCAGTATTATTAGCTCATCTTGTGATTTATGCCTAATTCTGTTCATTCTAAAGCAAAGAAGTTCCAGTTATTCAATTTATATTATAAATATATAATATGCTATTATAAATATTATGTTTATAATATGACTTTAATATTATATTATAAATAACTGGAATTTGTATCTTGAGACTGTCATCAATATCATATACAAAGGGGAAATGGCCTTTATACACACAGATACACACACACACACACACACACACACACACACACAATGTATGTGTATACATCCTCCCCTGTCCATTCCTCTGGGGTTTTTCTAGACCATGAAAAATGTCTCTTCTAAGTTTTCAAACCTCTTTGAACACCTTTAATTACACTGTGCTCCAGTTCCTGACGTGGTGTCCTATAATGCACTCTTCCATTTAAGCTCTTGCTCCTTATCAGTCTTTGAACATTTCTGTGTTGAAACTGACAGTCTTATCATTCTCAAGCTGCTTTTCAAGTTAACAGGCCTGAACCTTCTTGCATTTTCTCCTTTTACTTCAGTCTTTCTGTTTTCACTCTACAGTTTAGCCTGAGACTCTTGATTTTTTTGACAGTGTTACTGAAAATTCTACAATGTATGGGCTCTAAGTGTCCCCTTTTAAAACCTTTCTGAAGGAACATAAATGCACATGTGCTATCCATGTTGTTTCCCTTATTGAAGCTTAACCTCTCATTTCTGAGTGGAATAAAATAATTCATTTTTAAATTGTATACATACTGTTTAATACTATGTAGGGTTCCCTAGTGAACAGAATATCCAATTGACAGCTGTAGTTTTCATTTAAACAAGCATTCCTTTAAGCTTGGGTGGATGACAACCATCAGCTCCTTGTGACATTAACTGGCCATATCTATGCCAATGTACCATTGTCTAGCTTTGCTCAAATAGCAGGTGGAGTGGGGAAGAGTATGTCTCTCAGCAAAAGCCACCTGCTGGTTGAAGAGTGGCCACCACCGTCCTGGCTGAAGGTGAGATCAATCGGTCAGTCAGTCTCTCCTCATAATACAGAAACAGTGGGAAGCAGCCCGTCTTCTAGTAAGTTATCTTTCTGGCAGAACCATATTCCTTACAATTAAACCATTCATCAAATGTTGTTAAAGTTTCCCAGTGTCCAACTTGGTAATAAAACTCCAGGGTTTCAACCTGGGTCATTAGACATTGAATCTTTACCTCTTTCATAAAATAAAAGGCGCCTCAAATTCATGTGCCTTATTGATCAGCAGCACACTTGAGATACTATGTCCTCTGACTTATCATGACAGTCTCAGCAAACATCAGAGAGAAGGAAGAACCCACCTGGTACATGTGGGCAATATTTGATCCAAAATATTTTGCTCCGTAGAGTTTGCCGTCAGGCCACTTGACTTGGACGACTTCTCCCTCAGCAGGAGGGCCCAGCTTCAGACAGTCTCGGCTCTGCAGAATAAACAGAGACAGGCTTTTCAACACGAGTGCGTTAAGTGACTGCATTTAGAACTTAGCAAATGATGAACTCCTGGCAATTAAAAGGAGTTATTGCCTCTGTGTTTTATGGATTATGATCTCGCATGGGTGTTCAGGGGAAGAGATATGAGCCAAAGGAGTATTTAAAGATTCAGCCTACATCATAAAGTTGCAAAGGAGCCACCATAATCCAAGCAGAAAAAAAAAACCCAACAGCATTTACATTTGCTATTTGAAAAAGAATTGTTCAGGGGGTAACTAAAATATGCATAGAAACCGCTTTAGCTGAGGAATAGACCAGCTTATGATTTATAACACCTGACATTTATATGGCATTTTGTGGTTAACAAAATGCTTCAGGATACATCTCATGTGATCTTATAATCACTCCATGATGTAGGAAGAAATTATTAATTATCCCCATTTTACTGACGAGGAAACTGAGACTCCTGCGAGGTTCCTTTAAGTTGCCAGGATCTCTGAAGGAGTGAAGTTGAGTGGGAGAATAAGAGCTGAAGACACCCAGGTGGAAGTGGGGCAGGGGTGCAATTGAAGCCGGAAGGAATTGCCAATGCAGCAGAGAAGGGAAAATAGTGGCACCTGCAGTGGTGGGTGGAGCTCGGTGGGTGTGTCCTATTTAGCACACCCCTTCTGAAGACCCCCTGGACCTCCCTACACAAGTTGCTTCTGCCAGCATCTCCTGTTAATTAACTAGCCCATCTTTTCTACAGGTAATTATGGTGGCACCCATAACCAGAATCTTCATTTCAGATCTGTTTCACATTGCCACCTCCCAAGGCAGTAATTCAGAGCAAACTCCCCAGGTGATGAATCTTGAAAGGTGCTTGTTTTTTTTAAGGCGTGGGGAGGGGGACATGGAAGATAGCAAAAACATTTGCACAGGCATTGTTTGTAAACTTTTAAATTTGCATGGATTGGGTAGAAGACAATACAATTTTATTACAAGGAATTACATACTTGACTACGGTAATTTTTTTTTTTTTTTTGCACATTCAGCAATTCATGATTTGCTAATACAGGTATTTTACTAATGAGGACAATCTGAATGATTGACATGCATACTTGACAAATCAAGCTATAAATAGACTGCGCACACTATGTGGTTTAAATGAGAGGCATACACAGGAAGTATTTGTTTATGATTGGAAATTACCATGTATTTCTTATTATTAATAGAAATTGTGCCTTATAAAGGAGTGACCATTTGATTGCTGGGTTAAGAGTATACATGGAAGGCCCAGCTGTTCATTTTTCTAACTGCGGGCTATGCTTCCATTAGAGCTACAGCAAAGAAAAAACAGTGTGCTCAGAGGCTCTATAGAACTGACAATATGCATCTAACTTAGTCAAATGAAAGTAAGTCTATTCTAAGCCTTCATAATACTTGACCTTTGGGCAGGCAGAATTAAAAGGGTAGGCTGTGGAGATATACTCAATGTATGCCCGTGGGTTATCACCTCTCTTTCCATTTCCCTTCCAAAGATTTATGTGGTGCCAAGAACACTGGAAGTTATAGCTGCTGAGTACACACTGATTACATATGTCAGTCTCCAAGGTTAGAGAGTCCCATCAGCTCTAGATTCCTCTGCGCTGAAGCCCAGGTGCTGGGGTAAGCGTGGGGACAGGAGGTGGCATACCCTTCTTCCTGCTGCTAAAGCTTTCTCCCATGTGAAGGGATCTCCACTCGGTAATATATCTGGTTCACCCCCACTTAGCCTTTTACAAGAGGATTGGGAATGACTTAATTTTATTGCTGATTTCTGAAGGAGAATGCATTTTCCAAACTGTGTGCCATCGTACCCTGCCACAGCAAATTCACGGGGACCCTGTGGGATAACTGGTGAGTTATCTGGACTTAATTTACTTAACACATAGAACTGTTAGGTATTTCTTTTGACCAAGAGCCACTCTAAAAAGCATGCTGAGATACTAAGGGTGCCATGAGCCAACAAAGTGTGGTGACTTCTGGCTTAGCCTCTTCCCTTTCTCTCTGGAGCCATCATTCAGGGAAAGAACCTACACTCTGCTCCGCACCTTCTGCAGAGAGGAGCCTACGCTTTCCTGCACTGCCTATCACTAGGTAAGCCTGTTAATTCCAGGGTCCAGTATTTGAAACCTGTTTGCCCACAGATATAAGCCACACTCCTCAATATCTGCGTTAGTAGTCATAAAGGTGATACTTTACGTCTCCAAATCCTGACTCCTTTGTCTCGCTTTTCCTCAGGCATGGTGAGATATGCTATTTATTGGGTCCTCAAATCTCAACAGAGGCAAATCAAAGCCTCAGGAAATTCGGGAGGCAGTACTTTGCACTTTCTCACCTACCACAAACAAGTTTCAAGCAGGAGAGTTACGGCCTTCCTTTATCATTTTGGTCCTTAATTTTACAGATTTGCCCTTCAGCATAACTTTATTACTCTTTAAAATAGAATTCCTCAAAATAAATCCCGACCTGCAATTTTAGGTACCATATCACGAAGGTGAGGTGAGGGACACAGAAACAGGGGCCAGACAAGCATAAATTCCATTAGAGCAGTTTATCTTAAAAACTTAGTTTTATTCACAAACTGAATGGATGCAACTTTACTAAGTGACAATTTTTTTAAAAAAGGTTTTGGAAACAATGCCTGAGATAGTTTGATATCTTTTATTACTGATTATAAATTAACCTTTTACTCACAAGAAATCTTAATTTAGCATTGCAAGTGCCTGACCTCAACTAACTCGTTCCTGCTCAGCTTCATCCTGACGTTGCTCTGTATCAGCCACAAAGATCAAATTCATAATCTTTCATGCCAAACTCAAGAAGACACTTCAGTTTGCTTTCTCAGTCTTCTGCTTTCAGAACTTTTCTTTATTTATAGAAAAAGAAAAGTAACAGACCAACTATGTAACAATATAAGTTATTCTGTGCCTCCCCGACCTTCAAAACCAGAGGCATGATTCTCATCCTTAACGGCTCCTTTCTCACCCTTTGGCAGGTCCTTCAGCTGGAAGGACATAATATTTTGATGTGCATATAACTTTATTTAGTATGTATAATTCATGATTTACTCCCTAGCTACTTTCCAAATTAAGTTAAGGTCGCTTAGAGTAAAACATAAAAGAGCTTATTCCTGTAACATCTAGTTTCATCCATAAAGAAATGGTGTCAATTCATCAGCTGTATCACATTTTGAGTTTGCCAGCAACTTCTATGACTACGTGGGGTATAAATTTAAACAAGAATGAGACTAGATGCATGTGGGCTGATGAAAAGAAGTTGAAACTTTGATATTTAGGCTTCTCTGATCTCCCCAAAGTAGAAGCTGGTGGGTGTCCCCCAAATTGTTTCAATCACTAATTCAAAAACCTATTTACTGACCACCTACAGTGTGTGAGACACTAGGAGGCAATAAAGCCTAGCAGCCCAGCTAGGGACAGACAGAGGGTATTGCACCCACAGCCTGTCACACCAAACCCATGGCTCTGTGGGGTGGGGGCTCCGGAGTCCTTGCAAGGGGTGAGATCTATGAGGAGAGGACTTCAGAGCAGAACTTTGATTTTATTTATAAATTAGATTTCTGAGTAAAATTTCATGGGGGGGGGAGTTTCTTTCAAAAATAAAAGGTCTGAAAAAAATTAAGTATATCAAAAGGTCTAAAAAAAAAATGAAGGGATTTAGTTTGTGGAAAGCAACAGCTTGAGTGGTCTGCTCTCCCTCTTAAAGGTCTCCCGCTGGCTCACAGGTCCTTGGGTTGAGCACCAGGAACCAGGCACTGCAGCACAGCTTCTCAAAGTATGTTCCCAACCCTGGTGTACACAGTAAAATGAGGATTCCAGGGACCCCCAAAGCTCTCTCTGACGTGGGTGACTTCTTTTAAGCAATCTAGAATTTAAGATTGATTATAGAAAAGGATGTAAAATGCTAAAGAGGCTTTTCCTAATGCAGTTTACTTAGTATGTTATTGGAGTAAGTAAACACCTTTGCTGGAAAATTATATGCAATAAAACCTTGACAAATGCATTTTTCTCAGTTGCTGTCTAGGCTCTTTGAAGCAGTTCGCCTTCACCTAATATAAATAGCTGTTTGCCATTTGCTGTACTGCCTCCAGGATGTGTAAACTCGCCTGAAATCTACCAGAGCTTTGTTTACAGGACACTGGTGTCTGGAGCTGCCAGTAAGCACACAGCTACAGCACTAAATAGATGATGTGAAAATTAAAGACAGAAATCATAATCACGGTGAAGAGTGGCCTTTTGGCTACAATCAGTTCTTTAAAGGACTGAGAGGAGTACTGAACCTAGGGCAAGAGGATGGTGTCATCACATTCCCACCAAAGTCAGGGCCAAACTTCTGTACCTGCTCTACCAACTAAAAGGAAAAATTCAACTGCCAGTCTGAGTACCTGAATCTGAAGTCACTGAGTTCTTGGAACTCTTATGCAACCCTTCGAAAGGGACCCCTAGAAGTTGCTGTCCTCAAATGTTGCCTGTCTTAGCCCTATCCCCATCCCCATCACTATTCCTTACGTGTATAAACCACAGAGGCAGCCCCATCTATGAGCCCAGTTGCATCAGATGAAGATGCGGCACATGTGTTCCCAGCAGTTAATCAGCATATAGTTTGGCTCCCCTGGCAGTCCCCCTTGGGGAGAATGCTCAGGTGACCTGGGGCAAAATGCCAACAGCTGCTAGCATTTCCAGAGATAATCACCTGCTCATTACTGGACCCTGGCACAGATTAACAAGACTGACTGACAGCCATGTAAGAATCGTAGTGGCTATCTGTCATCTGTTTGGCTGCCCAAATTTGGAAACCCCTTCTCCCTACAGTCTAATGGGACTGAGCTGGCCTGACATCACAGTTGCTGAACACTGCCAGACGCTCCCTTCCCCAGCTTCCCTCACAGCAAAGACAGCAACAGAGGCCTGGCTAGTGGGCTGCGAGAGCCCAGGATTTACAGCCTGGG